CACATGAATGTTCATGTACAGACACACATGCACCTGGGCACACGGGCTGCACACACGTGCACAGGCAAGGATGCATGAATGCACACACACACACACACAGATACACGGTAAGAGCTGTGGAATCAAATCAGTGCCTTTCCACTCCCGAATTCTTCTCTTTGATGTGTCACTGGACCAGATCCAGTACAAGTTCTTCCCTCACTAGTCAGTGGCTGCAGCGTCATTGTTTTGATTTGGGAACAAGTTTCTTTGAAGCAGCCTCTTCTGTTGTAGAGTCTTATCTGTCCTCTAGTGCTTGTAAGTTGATCTGCTTTGAATGGTAGACCTTAAAAGAGAAGTAAGAAATAAGCTCCAAGGATGTATTGTACAACACAGGGACTGTAGGAAACATTTTATAATACCTGTAAATGGAGTATGACCTTTAAAACTTGTGAATCACTATATTGTACACCTGTAACTTATATAATGCTGTACATCAACTATACTTCAATTTTAGAAATTATCAAAAAAAAAAGGAGAAATCATTGCTGTCTTTCCAAGCAAGTCTCCTTTCAAAGATGCCTGTGTGTGTGTGTGTGTGTGTGTCTTCCTGAAGCCCAAGTCCAGCACGTGCCCCATCTGAGCTTCTCCAGAGAGCGGTGTCGTGGAGAGAGTCTAAACTGAGCCCAGCACATGCCTGAAGCCTGCGCTGGAGGAGCTAGGGTGTGTGAGTGCTTTTAGACTAACAGTTACACCTTCAGAGACTTTAAAAGCAAGTAGCAGCCCTATAATTCAGCCCAGGAAATGAGTGAAGGAGTCTCAAAACTATACGAGGAGTCTGGAAATTCTAACTATTTTTAAAGGAGCAGAAGCCTGTAATTCATGGGTGAGTGAAACACAAAAATGGCACAAAAGTATGTTTGCAAAGAAAAAATACAGTAAAGAGAAAAATCTAACCAAGTGAGAAATAGCAAATGAACACATTTATGTCAACCTATTAAAATTACATTATTGAAAAGGCTGAGAAATTAACCCTATAGATGCAAAATATTGGATTTTCCTGAAGACATTTTGGTGACCAAATAACCAACAGACGAATGGATAAAGAAGATGTGATGTATATATACAATGGAATATTACTCAGCAATAAGAAAAAGGATGAAATAGTGCATTTGCAGCAACATGGATGGACCTAGAAATTATCACACTGAGTGAAGTAAGTCAGAGAAAGACAAATATCATATGATATCACTTCTATGTGGAATCTAAAATATGATACAAATGAACTTATTTACAAAACAGAAATAGACTCACAGACATAGAAAACACAATTATGGTTACCAAAGGAGAAAGATGGGGAGGGATAAATTAGGAGTTTGGAATTAACAGATACACACTACTGTATATAAAATAGATAAACAACAAAGACTTACTGTAGAGCACAGGGAACCATATTCAATATCTGGTAATGGCTCATAATGGAAAAGAATATATATATAACGGAATCATTTTGTTATATACCTGAAACTAACACAACATTGTAAGTCAAGTATACTTCAATTACAAAAAAAGCAAGTAGAAAGAACGGCCCTGGGCCATCAGGGGCCCAGGGTGGATACAGCCATCCCCTTCTTCTTGGAGCAGTGGACACCCCGAGAGCATTTCAGCAAGAACAGCTCGGCCACCCAGTGAATCACTGGGTGAGACTTAAACAGCCAGTCCAAGGAGGACAGACAATCTATGAAAAGATATTTGTTAGCTGCGAACTTGGGCGCAAGACAGAAGGCGAGAGGGGATCTTTGTGGCCAGCTGCGTGCGGTGAGGGCACTGAGACCGTGGACTGGCATTCACGCTCTGTCTCCCCGCTGCTGAATTGACTGAGTGCTGGGGTTTTGTGTTCATAATTCTTCCCAGGAAGAAGACGCAACAAAGGCCAGTCTGTTCCTTTGGGGTTTTGTCTGTTGTTTTTTGTAACAATTGCGACTTTCACAAAGAATAAGCAAAGTATTTGTACATGCCAAAAGCATCAGAATATTTTGAGATTATTGTGAGCCTCTATTTGTCTGGCGGCTTTTAGTTCGAATTCTCAAGTCATACCATAAATTTTCAGTATTATAGAAAAGAATGATAGAATTTGCATTTAATGCAAAAAAATCACCCTTGACATTTGCTCCCACTTATGTAGAAGTTGATGGCGACATTCCTGCAAATATACATTTGCTTATGTTTGATGAAATAACATTGGACTTTGATCTGGACCCACGTGATGATTATTATAAACATGTTAGGTTTTTGTGGTCTCTTTTAATCAGGTGTAACTGCACCACATAAGCAAAGCAGGAGAGACGTGGGGAAGTTTCTAGAAGTCAGTAAATGGTGGTTTCCTTTCTTCTTTTCTGGTTTTCCTTCACTCTTTAGCAGCTAATTAGAAGAAGCAGTACATCCCTTGATCAGCAATGGAACAGTTCAGCCAGACAGAGGTCCAGAGGGGCAGGGAAACGCAGCAGATCTGGGCTTCTGGCTCCTCAACTGAGCCTTGGTCTGAGTCTCCACCGTTGGAAAGACAGATATTGGAAAGGAGCTGTAAGCTCTGAATTTAAACATGTGAAGCAGCCTTCCATTCCTGTTTAGGAGGGGCTGGTGCCATTCTCCCTGTGAATCAGGATGTCTTAGTGGTGGGCTATGAGAGAGAGCTGGGGTTGGGGGATCTTTCCCACCAAGCCACACAGACCTGGGTGGCTGCCACCCTCACTGCCTGTCCAAGGGGAAGGGCATGCAGCATGGCCCGGTGAGGCCGCCAGTGGTGGGGCCTGGTTCCCTTCCGGGTCCCCTTACATAGACAGCACAGGTCCGCAGTGTGCTATGACAGAAATAGTACATGTGGGGAATGCCCGGGGCCTGTTGAGAGAGCATCGTTAGTGTGCTCAGAAACATCAGGAGACCATTGAGAGCAGTGTGAGTGCGCCTGTGAGTGGATGAAATTCAGGGTGTTTCCAACCCACCTACAAAACACGTGCATGAGATGCTCGGGAAGGCGGGCGAAGGGAAGTCAGGTGCGAGGAAATGTGTCCGGAAGGGCGGTTGCAGGAGATGGGCAGTCAGGAGGCGTCGTGGAGAACGGCTGAGCCTGGAGTAAGAGACAGCGCTCCCCTGACTGAGGGTCCAGCACCGCCCAACTTCCCCTGGTCCTGTCTGCCCACCCCCTCTGCTGCCAAGTAAACCCCATTGCCCAGGGCTCTCTGGAGAGTGACGGCTGGAGACACGGCCACCTCGGTGCTGCCTGCTGGCTCCTTCTCGCTGCTGGTCTAGGGTCCCTGTGCCCGCCCTCAAATGAATCAGACCTTCTTGTCACTGCAGACCCAAATGCTCTGACTTTCAGCCCAGAGCACACCCGGTCACTGTGAGGGGAGCAGACCTCTCCCCATGGCCCTCACTCATCAGCAGAGATTGTATGAGGAAGCACTGGCCCCCAGCTTGACCCCCTCCCTGGGGACTCAAGGACAGGCTTCTGTCTCCATGTAAAAGGCTCCACCATCTTTTCAGGAACTGGTTCCCTTGTGACATGAATTACAAGAAAGCCACTATCCAAATTGAAAAAGAAGAGGTAAAACTGTCACAATATGCTGACAACATGTTACTATATATAGAAAACCCTAAAAGGTCCACACAAAAACTACCAGAACTAATCGAAGAATTCAGCAAGGTAGCAGGTTACAAGATTAACGTTCAAAAATCAGTTGCATTTCTTTACACTAACGATGAATCAACAGAAAAAGAAAGTAAAGAAACAATCCCCTTTAAAATAGCACCCAAAGTAATAAAATATCTGGGAATAAATCTAACCAAGGAGGTGAAAAACTTATACACAGAGAACTATAAAACACTGATGAAAGAAATTAAAGAAGACTTTAAAAAAATGGAAAGATATCCCATGCTTTTGGGTTGGAAGAATCAATATTGTTAAAATGGTCACACTGCCCAAGGCAGCCTGCAGATTTAATGCAATCCCTATCAAATTACCCAGGACATATTTCACAGAACTAGAACACATCATAACAAAATTTATATGGAACCACAAAAGACCTAGAATTGCCAAAGCATTACTGAAGAAAAAGAAAGAGG